AGTGCTGACGCAGGTCTTGGAGGTTTTTGAATATGAATTTGATATTCATCAGTCAGTAAGGCATCTTTGAGTTACTTAGCATCACATTGACTTGCACTGCTCTGGCCAAAACAGGTGTTCAGCATCACTCCAAAGCATTGTTTCTGGTTTGGTTCCGAGAGTCTAAAGCCTCGAAGCAGAAGGAAAAGTTGGGAACAGGAACTTGAATGGAAGGGAGGTAAGTGGTAGAGCTTTCCCTGTCTGACAATACATCAGAGAAATTTCTAAGAAGGAATGGTCTGTAATGGGGGTGCACAAAGTGCTTAAGCATGTGAGTTTGTCAGCATTTCACTGACAAACTGACACTACATAGAGTACTAATGGGGGGGGGGAGACTTGTAACTGGTGACTGAGTTATTCATTCCAGTTAAGTATGAAAAGCTGGTGAAGTCTGAATTCTCGTGGCCATCAGTAATGGTGCGAGTCAAAGTGTAATTGTACTTGGTTGCATATTATTCAAATTACCCTCCACAATATGCTAAAACATAGCAATTGTATATTTTCAGTTCAGCTGTAAGTGAGGTAAGTTATAAGTGGAAACTTAAGTGAAATTGAACTCAAGGAGTCAAAAGAAGCTATTTGGTAATTGGAGTTGAAGGAGAAAGAAACAGTGATAATGCTTAAACTTAGGGAAATAAATATTGTAATAGCTTTTTTATTTTGCTGAAAAATTTGAAACTAGCAGAATAGTTTGTGGCTTATTATTATTATTATTATTATTATTAAAGAAAAGACACGAGAGCCTACTGTTTGGGGGATGTAGGGGAGAAACACTACTTAGATTTAAGGAAATCATTGGTTTTGTGTTTTAAAAAGACACTCAACAAAGCCCACACATTAAAATTCACTTGCAATGAACAGAATAGGTAGAACTCTGTAGCACCTGTTCCAGGATGTTTCTTGTTTGTTCCTATTTTGCTTTTTTTTTTTTTATTCATTTATTTTTATTGGAAAAGCAGATATCCAAAGAGAAGGAGAGACAGGAGAAAGATTTTCTGTCCAAGTTGCTGCACTGGCCAGGGCTGAGCCAGTTTGTGGCCAGGAGCCAAGAGCTTCTTCTGAGTCTTCTCTGTGGATGTAGGGTACCAAAGCTTTGGGTTGTTCTCAACTGCATTCCCAGGCCACAGGCAGGGAGCTAAATGGGAAGCAAGGCTGCCAGGATTAGAACCAGTGCCCGGCGTATTCAAGGTGAGGACTTTAACTGTTACGCTACTGCACCAGACCCCAAAGTATTTTGAAATACCATTTTCATTCAGGCCAGGGGCGACCCAAATAGACCATCCCTGTTCGTTGTTTGTCCGTATCTTCCAAAAACTCGACTTTTGCACATCATTCCCACAGTCTCTTTCTGAAGAATGCTGGGTCCATTCAGCCACGTTCTCCTTGGCTTTCATCTATGCTCTGTTCATCTCCCGTCTATTAACGTTCTCCACAGACAGCATGGTGGTTTATATTTAATAAATCATATCATACTCAGGCTTGCTTTTAAAGTTACCTTGGTTGGACGTTAGGTATTCTTACAGGTATTCACAGATGACCTTTTGGTCTATTCCACGGATGGCCAACTGCATTCATTGGTGCGGCAAACACTGCTGATCCACTTCCCAATAGCCACAACCCTCCTTCCTCTTCCTTCATGGAACACTGATGTTTTTCTCCATAATCTGGGGGATAGACCAGACTACATTTAGTTTCAGCCAGCCATGCTTTTCCATTTCCTCCTGCCAGTAATTGATTTAGCGATGTACACATAGCCCAGCATTCTGACCAGGAAGATTTTTCTTGCTGATAGTATGAAATGTGCAAGGAGCCCCTTCACCCCTCAGCTCAGTTGTGAGTCGCACCTGGATCTGCAGCAGCATCCTCCAGCACGGGAGGATAAGCTGCGAGAGGTCAGTCAGCCAAGGATGCTGGGGGAGGAGGAGGACTGTGCACCCTTGATGACACTGTTGAACCCCCTCATGTCTTTAGACTCATAATGTAAGATAACATAGGTCTTTAAGTTTTGCAAGTTTTGTTATCTATAGGACTTTACGGGAATTTTGGTTGGACATCTACTTTTTATCTGAAATACAGATCAGATTTTTTTTTTATATTTTTGTTTTTTAATTTTTTTAATTTATTTTTTTAAAAAATATTTTGTCCTTTACTTTTTTTTATTTTTATTATTATTTTTTTTATTGGAAAGGCGGATATATAGAGAGGAGAGACAGAGAGGAAGATCTTCCGTCCGATGATTCACTCCCCAAGTGAGCGCAACGGGCCAATACTATGCCGATCCGAAGCCAGGAGCCTCTTCCGGGTCTCCCACGTGGGTGCAGGTTCCCAAAGCTTTGGGCCGTCCTCGACTGCTTTCCCAGGCCACAGGCAGGGAGCTGGAAGGGAAGCGGAGCTGCCGGGATTAGAACCGGCGCCCATATGGGATCCCGGGCGTGCAAGGCGAGGACCTTTAACCACTTGCGCCACCGCACCGGGCCCACAGATCAGATTTATAGAGAGAAGATACAGAAGGAAAGATCCTCCATCCACTGGTTTACTCCCCAAATGGCTGCAATGGCCAGAGTTGAGCCAATCCGATGCCAGGAGCCAGGAGCTTCCTTCAGGTTTCCCATGCAGATGTGGAGTTCCAAGGCTTTGGGCCTGCTCCACTGCTTTCCTAGGCCACAAGCAGGGAGCTGGATGGGAAGTGGGACAGTCGGGACACCAACTGGTGCCCATGTGGGATCCCGGTGCAGATAAGACGAGGACTTGAGTCACAAGGCTATCATACCAGGCCCTGCTTTTCTATTTCTCTCTTCTCTATCCTCCCCACCTCTTCTCTTTCTTCCTCTCTCCCCTTTTCTATGTGGACAGCCCCTGGCTTGGGAAGTAGCAAGTTTAGAGACTTTGTTTATCAGCATACATCTTGCACCCTTTTTTCCTGTAGGGCTGAGAGGCAGGGTGTTCACTCCATTGAAGCGGTAAGATGCAAAACTCAGGGTGGGCTTAGCATGGCTTTCTGGCCTATCTGATATCGGGCGATCTAAGTCTACTGGCTGTCACGTCCAGCCTGCTGAGTCATTTCTACACTTTGCGGCTATAAAGAGCTTACTAGGCACTGCTTTGCTTCTTAGAGATGGGATGCTACAGTGTGATCGGGCTGGTTTCTGTGGCATCACAGGAAATGTTTCCTGCCCCAGTATTTCTCTTATTGTAGTCAAGATGGCCCATGGGCCTGTGCTCACTGTTGCCTGCAGCTCACTCCCGGCGAGGAGTATTTGGGACAGTGTTTCACAATACAGTAAGTGAATTAATTGTGCCAATTTTGACCCCAAGGCTTGACTTAAGAAATCCGAGTTACTTCCTGCTCATTTCAAGAGTCAAAGTCTTTCTCTGTTACCATCTGTATCACAAAGATCATGTCTTGTGAACCAATCTGAATTGGTATACATATCTCAGAACTGCCTATAGTCCCATCTGTCCCATAGTTCTATGCTTTGCCTAATACGCATGATCTGTTCAGGGCCCTGCTAGCACACACTGGGACTTGTTCTGCAGTGTGCTGGAAACTGTCTGTCTGTGCAGAAGAAATCCATGATTTGTAGCATTTACTGATTGTTATGGTATAAATACTCCCACCATTGCCTGTTAAAAACTACTAACCTCATGTCGTAGGATACAAAGAAAGCAGAGATATATTCCACTAGCTGTCTTTTGGGGAGCCAGAAAAACCCAGCTGCAACACAGTCTTGCCATGTTTTTATAAGAGGTACTCTGTGGGCATAGGAACTGAGGAAGACATCCACTTGGGGCAAATTATTAAAAGCTGCCTAATCTGGGCAGAAGGAAGCCACATATGGCTTGGTGTGCAGGTGGCAGGTGCCACTTCCTCTACACATGTTGTGTTGAGGGGAATCTGAACTAGACTGCAGACCCATTCGCCTCGTTAACTGGGGCCTCTGTGCAGTTCACAATCAGCAGCACCTTACGTGTGCGTCCTGGCTCTTGCTCATGCCACTTAGAGTTAAGTAAAATGGATGGAGTAAGGGAAAGGAGAGCCAAGTTACCTGGCAGCCTGAAAATCTGCTTTATGCAGATAATTATAGGATGACATTGCCAGTTGGAATATTAGTTCTTAAGATTAGCCTAATTAATACAAGTCTATTACTGCTAAAAAGGCCCTCCAACTATCTTATTCCAAGGACACACATAATGATACAGCTGGAAAGAGTTGAGAAATGTGATGCCAAGAACAGTGTATATTTAGATTCCATCTCATTAGATATATATTAATGATTTAAGTCCCAATGACAGTCAAACACGGGCATAATGTGAATATTTAAATGCAATATGGTCTTTTACAAGCCATTTCTCATAGCTTCTACTTAGCCTGAGAATGACGCTCCCATTATCCTCTCTATTTTATACAAATGGAGAAACAGGCCAGGAGATGATGTAACTCAAGGTGACAAGGAATGTATACCCCAGCCACGTCTTCTGCATACATCTGCCGTGTTCACTGCTCTGTTATTGCAGATATACTTCAGTTTTAGAAAACAGACAATCTGATTTGTCTCTGGTGAAGATACTTTATTTTCCATAAAAATATAATAATGCAATACTCTTCAGAGAACAAAAACTTCCTTCAATGCCCCCAAATACCATTTGGTTTAATAAACATCCTCTTTTTAAAAACAAAACATAATATACAACTGAGTTTTTGTGAAATGTAGCATTTAGGCTTTGTTTGCAACATAGCTCAGCATTTATGTTTTAAATTTTTATTTGTCTTTAACTAAACATAATCTAGTTTAATTAAACCTGTAGGTTTACAAATTGCTAAATGGTGATGCTGATAAATAATCTCAATTAGCTGATAAACAGTGATATGAATTTGCTACAATAAGATAGTTTGCTTTAGATATAATGAAAGATTTGACAAAATAGAAACATTTCTTAAGAACTTCAATTATATCTTAAAACTTGAATAGTCAAATGTATTCCATATTCACCTGCTCTAATTTAAGGTCAGGTTGATTCTAAAACAGTGACAACACGCTTGGACACAAACACATCTCTCCCTTAGCTATCTTCGGGGAAGCCAGGCAGAGAACACAGTGTTCTGGTGACTTGGAGTGAGGAGAGCAGCAGCTTCTCCTGCACTCACCCGTTCTTTCTGACCCGCTGTTCTCGCCCAGCAACATTGGTGTCATCACAGGTAAGCGGCAGGATTTCCAACCAGAATGGGAAGGATATGTTCCAGCTGCTTTCATCAGTGACATTTATTAATATGCTTCCAAGTGGAAAAGCATGTAGATAGCACAATAACCCAAAGCAATCAAAGCCTTCCTTTTTTAAAGACCAAGGAACTTTCTCTTGGTTTGATATGCTCCAAAATACTAAAGAGTTAGGTTGAGGAACAAATGCAAATGAACAGTAATTTAGTTTCACCCAAAATTACATATCCTCTACCTGAGGATAAAACCTCTGCTCTTGTAAAGATATCGGGGCGAGGGGAAGACGCTTAAGTGGTGCTGTAATTTAGAATTACAATCAGAGAAGAAATTCTTCAAGCACAATGAGGCATTCCATTGAAGAGCCACATTCATTTTGGAATGTTTGCTTTGAAACAACTCTTTTGGGAAACCTGAAAGTTACTCAACAAAGCAACATAAAATAAGTTTTGGGTTGTTTTGCAGAAAAATGTACAATTGAGTAGACCAGATGGTAAAACTACACCCATTACAATCTGAATGCCTGAACTTCAACAATCCCTCATCTGTACTTTTGATCCTAAAAAGACATTAAATACTCTTAAACCCCCAATCTTCCACAACACAGAGACCCAACAAACTGGGCTAGTGGTATATCAGTAGTCACACTTGGCTAGCCTAGTGATCTGAGTTTGCAGCCTAAGAAGAGCTCTTTAGGAACTGTGGTCAAGGGAGGGCCTTTAGTCAAATGCATGGCCATAGAGAGGGGAGGAAGTGTTTGGCCATCTCATCTACTACCTCTGCAGACAGTCTAGGCTAAGAGGTTTCCTCTGAAACTGCCAGATTATAATCAAACTTATCTTGTTTGGAAACCAAATACTTGTTTCATCAGAGTGAAAACCATTATAATTTAGCAGCGACAGAGAACCCAAGTCCTGATGAGAAACACAAAGGCAGAGCTAACATGTCTCCTTAAGGAAATCAAGATCCCTGGGCCAATCCGAGTGTATCAGAGAGCCAGCCTGATTCTTTACCTTCACTCCACTTTGCTAGTCAGGACCACAGTAAGCAGGGTTTAACTGTGGTGGGACTGGAAATAGCTCCTCTGCCCTTCCACACGTCCTGCCAGGCCCAGCAGCTGTGGGACCATGTGCCACTCTGGCCCCGGAGTGTCACTCCAGAGGATACACAGCCAGGGCTGAGCCAGGCCCCGGCCCTAGTGTGTGTGTTCCTGGCTCAGAACATGTTTGAAAAGGAAGATATTCAGTGTTCTGGTCATGGCTATCACCGTTACATCCACCTGCAATTTGTCCCTTGTTTTGTTCCAGATTGCAAGGCAGAAACTCAGTCTCAGCAGCTAGTTTCATCCTATTTTCTTCAGAAAAAAAGTCTAATTCAGTTGAATACACAAGAAACTTGTGTGGACATTCATGCTAGTCCTCTCCACGTGCACAGATAGACAACAGAAACACACGTCTGCACATGTGCTATAGTGTGCCAAGAAAACGTATGCTGCTGAAATGCCTGAAAGGTTACTTCTTAGTTAAAAATAGAATTCTGACTAGTTCATCTCCAAGTATGGATTTGGCCCTAACAAATACTTTATAAATATAGTTTGAAGAGACAGCAAAAAGGTTTAACACAGTGGCTGTCTTAAGGATTTTCCTGATGGGCTATAACATGTGCATTATTTAAAACAGGCATATCATTGTGGATTATAAAAATAGAAATGTCTCTGTTAATATATATTCACAGCTTATGCTGGAATGGCTCACAGGAGAAATCAAGGTTCATGCAGAAAACAAATGTTACTCAGGTAGATAGAAAGAAACAAGATTAGGTCCATAAAGGCTGAGAATTTAGTAACCAGCCTATTGGGTTTCTCTTTGTAGGGTAATCAAAAACATGAAAGATGCTGACACCAAAACACATACACACATACAATGACATGGAAAGAGTATAAATAACCCATAGAGCAATATGGAGTTAAGGTGCAAAAATACAATCTTCACCCATTTTTCTCAACTGTGGCTTCAAGCATTATTAAATGTTAAATATGGGTGGCAATCCCAACCAGAACACATGTGAATGTACATTTTCTAAGTGTTACAAGTTGAAGCAAGATCGTTGAGAACTGCGATCACACATTTTGGTGGCAACTGCTGATTTACAGAGATGACTGCTGAGCGGCAGGTAGTAAACAGCCAAGAAGTACAATCTTATCCATTCTTCCTCCATAGGAATCAGAACGCTGGCTTCAATCTCACTGTTTGATGATCTTCACCCTGAAAAATAAACCAAAATTCGCCAATATAAGAATATTTCCTAGGCCAATGGGTTTGGTAATTGTTGTCAATGTGTTCTTTTTGTTTGTTAGATGTTTCATTTTGTGTAGAGTTTACAGTGTGTTTAAAAAAATATATAGACTGAAAGAAAACCAAAAGATGATTTGGCTTTTTTCATTAATTTAACTTAAAATAAGGTTAAATGTTGCCTCAGCTAAAAAAGATTATCAAGCAACCCCCAATTCCTTCCATTTCATTTTTGGAAGTTAAAAATTTATAACAATTCCTTATAATTATTTTAACTGCTCCAAGAGTAATTGATCACAATAATGAAGAAATAAACATATGTCAACTTTATTCTAAAATCTCCAGTTTCTTCAACAGAAGGTCCTGAGACAAATGGACAGTCACACATAACACATGGAAAACCTGCATCAAGGTGAATAATGAACAACTTAGAAAAGAACTAAACGTAATTCATATTTTAGAGAAAATAAAGGAGATAATTTTATACTGGATTTGTGTGGATGTAGTGCTGATACCAAGAGCATACGCAACCAAAGGGGAAAAAAAAAGATAATATCTTTTGTGTCTCAAAAGACACTATCAAGAAAATGAAAAGGCTAAAAATGCCTGCCAATCACGTGTCTGATGAAGCCTTCATATCCAGAATAAATAAAAGGACTCTTAAAACAGAAAATGGAAACGCAACTGCAGCACGAGCCAGGAAACTTACACATTTCTCCAAAGAAACAGATGGCCAAGAAAACAAGCATGTGGTGTGATGCTGAACATTATTATTTTTAAAAGATTTATTTATTTTTATTGGAAAGGCAGATATACAGAGAGGAGAAGAGACAGAGAGGAAGATCTTCCATCTGATGGTTCACTCTCCAAATAGCCACAACAGTCAGAGTTGAGCCAATCCAAAACCAGGAGCCAGGAACCTCCTCCAGGTCTCCCACATGGGTGCAGGGTCCCCAAGGCTTTGGGCCGTCCTTGACTGCTTTCCCAGGCCACAAGCAGGGAGCTGGATGGGAAGTAGAGATGCTGGGATTAGAACCGGCGCCCATATGGGATCCTGGTGTTCTAGGCGAGGACTTTAGCCACTAGGCCACGGCGCCAGGCCCAATGCTGAGCATTTTTATCATGAAGGAAGTGCACATCAAAATCATGAGATACTATGTCATTCTCAGTAGGATGGCTATGGTTTTTGAAAATGGAAACAAAATATATGTCGGGCAGATGTGGAGACACTGTGACAGCTGTCCATCGCTGATGGGGATAAAAGACATGTCATTTGTCATGAAAACCAGTTGGGGGGGGCAGTGCCATGGCAGACCAAGTAAAGTCATGAGCAGTGCTGGCATCCCATATTGGTGCCAGTTTGAGTTCTGGCTGCTCCACTTTGAATCCAACGAAGGACGGCCTAAGATTTGGGCCTCTGACCCCTGCGAGAGACCAGGAAGAAGCTGCTGGATCCTGGCTTCAGACCAGGTCAGCTTTGGTCACTGTGCCCTTGGGGCAAGTGCATCAGCAGATAGAAGACATCTGTCTCTCTCTCTTCCCTTGTAATTCTGCATTTCAAATAATAAATCCAAAGGAAAAAAGGAAAACCTGTTTGAGAGTTCCTCAAAAAAGTTAAACACGTAATTATCAACTTGGTAATTTGACTGCCAGGTATATTCTCAAAAGTGTTGAAAACAGGAGAGGCTGGCACAGTGATGCAGATGTGAACCCTTCCCCTGCGGCTCCGGCATTCCAAATGGGCGCTGCTCCCAGTCCCAGCTGCTCCACTTCCAGATGCAGCTCCTTCTCTAGGCCTGGCAAGGCAGTGGGGGTGCCTCAGTCTGCGTGGCCCTGTGCCCATGTGGGAGACCCAAAGGAAGCTCCTGGCTTCAGATTGGCCAAACTCTGGCCATTACAGCCATTGGGGAGTGAGTCAGCAGATAAAAAATTTCTCTCTGTTTCTCCCTCTCTTTCTCTATAATTCTGACTTTCAAGTAAAATAAAAAAATATTTTAAAAAAATTGAAAACAGGAACACAAACACTTGTACAGCAAGCTTATAGCAGTCCTGTTCACAAAGCAAGTGGATAAGCCAAGGCAGCACACGTACACGTGAGAATACTATCTGGCAACAAAAAGGAATGAATCTTGAGAACATGTGAAGCCAGGAAGTCAGACACCACATGGTCCCATTTCCATGAAACGTCCGGGACAGATCCTCAGCGCCAGAGGCAGTCATGGTGCTCGTGGGCTCTGGGAGAGACGATGGGAAATGCCTAGTTGGGTTCAGGAATTTTGTGGGGAGAGTCATTATTTCGTCACTAGATATAGTTGCACAACACTGTGAATGGACTAAACACTTCTGAATTGTTCCTTTAAAATGGTTAATTTTATGTTATGGGAATTTTACCCCCCCCCCCCAAAATGTATCACCTTTGGCTCTCAGCTACTGCACCAGAGAGGACTCGTCTGGGTGAGGGCAGGCCCTGTCATGCCTGCTTCTGTGACGCTCGTCACCTCACCTGGGTCCTCTGCTATTTCGTTAAAAAATAAGCAGCATGGGCCTGGCGCAATAGCGTAGTATTAAGGTCCTTGCCTTGCATGCGCTAGGATCCCATATGGGTGCTGGTTCTAATCCAGGCGGCCCTGTTTCCCATCCTGCTTGTGGCCCAGAAAAGCAGTCAAGGACGGCCCAAGGCCTTGGGGACCCTGCATGTGCGTGGGAAACCAAGAGGAACTCCTGGCTCCTGGCTTCGGATTGGCTTGGCTCGGCTCCAGCCGTTGCGGTCATTTGGGGAGTGAACCACCGGAGGAGGATCTTCCTCTCTCTCTCCTCCTCTCTGTATATCCGCCTTTCCAATAAAAATAAATAAATCGTTTAAAAAAAATAAGCAGCATGACTCCGCAATGTAACAACAGAAGAAATATATTTAAGATAAATGCGAATGAAAGTATTTTCAAGCTGTAAATCACACTAAGGGTCAGGTTATAATGCATCCAGCCCTGCCCCAGTACTCACAGGTCCCGCTGTTGGCCTCCGCCTTCCCAGCCTTGCTGTGCCGGCCCGAGTTCTGCTGAGATTTGCTCTGCTCTTCTCCAGTGAGGAGGGCCTTGATTTCAGAAGGGATTTTTCCTTGGTCCATTGCCATGCACCACTGCTTGTACTGAAATGACAAAGTACAGTGTTACTGGTCAACATCCTGTCTGGTCAGCAGCCATCAGCAGAAATCCCAGCCGGAAGAACTAGCGCGGTGGGAGGCCAGGCTGCACCTGCCATGTGTGAGGCCAGGCTGGCTGCTGGCAGCCCCCGCCTCGCCGCTGCCCGCTCTGCAGTGCCTGCCGTGTGTCTGCCGTGTGTGAGGCCAGGCTGGCTGCTGTCTCAGGACAGGGTGGGGAGACGCTGCTGAACCTTGCCATCACTGCGCCCTCGGAAAGCCTATCTGCTAGAAGAGCTCTCTGCGGTGCGCCATTAAACACGCATCTCTTGTTTTTACAATTGTCAGGATGATTTCCACTCCCCAAAGAAACAAATTTTAGTAGTTGCCTTTCTCTCTTTTGTAAACATTCAGTAAACACCTATTAATGACCAGAGTGTATGAGGGTAGTTCAGGGAGTTCCCAGAAGGGGCAGGCACTTGGCATAGCAGTTAATATGCTCGGCTGATGTCCGATTATATTCCACCTCAGAGTCCGGATTCAGCTCCCAACTCTACTTTGGGGAGGCGGCAGGGGAGGCTCCTGGGCCCAGTGCAGTGGCCTAGCAGCTAAAGTCCTCACCTTGAACACGCCGGGATCCCATGTGAGCACCAGTTCTAATACCGGCAGCTCCACTTCCCATCCAGCTCCCTGCTTGTAGCCTGGGAAAGCAGTGGAGGACAGCCCAACGCCTTGGGACCCTGCACCTGTGTGGGAGACCTGGAAGAAGTTCCTGGCTCCTGGCTTCAAATCGGCTAAGTTCCAGCCATTGTTGTTATTTGGGGAGTGAATCATCAGACAGAAGATCTTCCTTTCTGTATATATGCCTGTCTAATAAAAATAAATCCTTTAAAAAAAGCAGCAGCAGCAGCTGGCTCCCTGCTGCTCACGTGGGAGACTCGCACTGAGTTGCTGGCTCCTGGCTGCTTCCGCCCAGCCTTCCTGGCTGTCGTAGGTCTTTGGGGAGTCAACTAACAAAAGGGAGATCCCTGTCTTTTGCCTCTATCAGCTTTCAAATAAATAATTTTTAAAAGAATTTAGCAAAAAAAAAAAATTAAAAGAAGATTTATTAAAGTTCATCCAAAAATGGACTTAAAAAATAATGAAAACTTGTGTGGAAGACTTGAATTTTTTCCCATAACACATGCCATGAACTCTGTGAAGATCCTGGTTTACTGTACGCTTTGCAGTGCACTTCAAAGTGAAGCACACCTGTGCCTCTCGAAGATGAAGCAGATCAAAGGTTCTGCCCCCGGGGTGGCTTACACACTACAGAAAATCACAATTTACAACACAGATCATATTAAACATATTAAGAAAAACACAGGGCCCAGTGCAATAGCCTAGCAGCTAAATCCTCACCTTGCATCTGCCAGGATCCCATATGGGCACTGGTTTATGTCCTCGCTGTCCCACTTCCCATCCAGCTCCCTGCTTGTGGCCTGGGAAAGCAGCAGGGAAAGGCCCAAAGCCTTGGAACTCTGCATCTGCATGGGAGACCTGGAGGAGGCTCCTGGCTCCAGATCAGCTCTGTGGCCACAATGACCACTTGGGGAGTGAACCATCAGATGGAAGATCTTCCTCTCTGTCTCTCCTTCGCTCTGTATATCTGTCTTCCAATAAAAAATGAATTAAATCTTAAAAAAAAAAGAAAAACACAAACTACCTAACAGCGCCTATCTGGACCACATACACATCATTCATGTTCTTCGCTTTGTGTCCTAACCTCATTTCTTGCTTTCTAAAAACCCTTCTTGTTATAAGGCTAGTTTTGTAGTGTTCATGGGAGTAACTTGTCTCTTGTAACTTCCTCCCTCAGCCACAGGAACGGAGGATTTCAATTCTGTTCATTGTCTTTTCATTTCTAGAGCCACTAGCCAAACTCTGAATAAATCAATGAATGGAGAAAACATGTAAAATAAGTAAATTCCATACAAATACTATCTTATGCATAGTGAGATACTGTTATATTGCTTTTTTTCTACTTAGTAGTATAACATGAACGTGTTTCCACTAGGAAGCGTGCGCACTGTGATTTTTCCTGGTTATAAAGCAGTCCAAGATACAAAAGTAACATGCACGCAGCTCCTTGCTCTTACACATCTGCGGTATCTCCCATTTCCCTTTCCTAATCCCTTAGTGAGAATGCCCCGCAGCCCGCTCCCATCAGGTCTGTGTCCATCCTACCAACAGGTTCATGTTGTACTGTTTGCTAACCGGATAGGCAGGAACTGGCATCTGCGTGTCTAAATGTGTTTCTTCAACTGCTGAATTAAGAGCGACTTTACCATTTCCAGTTCCTCTCTGAGGGCACATATGGCTCTTTCTCGACTGGATACCAACTCTTCCAAATACTGGTATCTCAGCTTCTTCCTGGCCCGGCATTCTCTCGCGCTCTGCCGGCTCCTCTCAAGTTTTGCTTTCAAGTCGATTTTGGCAGGCTTCCGACCACGCTTACCGGGCTTCTTTACTTTGCCTCCAACCACCTTCAGCAAGAGAGAACACATCATCTTTCTCTTAGCTGCTTTCCTATACAGACAACCACGGTTTCATATTATCCAAGAAAACATTGACAAGTTGTAATTAAGTGAAGATCATGGAACTAAGAAAGCATGACCCTATCAAATGTCTGTTAAGATTCTCTACCTCATTTTCTTCTTAATTCTTCCCACACCTTGAATGGAGAAGAAACAAGTTCACTTTTTATTTCTTCAATAATAAAGTTTAAATAGCTCAGCAGTAAGCTTTGTAAATCATATGGAGATGGGCAATAAAAACTAGAGGATCACTAGTAACTATTTTTTGAGAAAGAATTTTTGCTTCCTTGAGAAAATAATTACAGTTGAAAGTACCCCAAATCATAAATTCATTATGACATCAAGATTATAAAACAACACCTAGAGAAAAGGAAGTTACTAAGGCCAATGGGGACTTGTAATGATAGGTGTGATTATAAAGAGCTTTTCTCTTATTTATGTTTTCATGATTTTTCAATGTATACAATTAGAAAAATATAAAATATATGTATATCTATACTCATGTATATTTGCTAGTATGTGTATATCCAAAGGCATCTTACTATAAATCCCCTCTTCAACTTCGTTGAGCCAAAAAAAAAAACAAAAAGACACAGGAAGTTCCTGCAATCTTTAGGATAATTCTCTTCTAACTTGAGAAGCCTATAATTCTACCCTTTACTGTCTTGGCAGATTACTTGCTCCAACTGGTGTCATAAAACATCCTCTCACCATCCCTATTACTCACTCACCTGCCCAGGCACAATTACTAGGTTACTGGCAAAACAATCTAATCTTCATTGTTTAGCTTTGAAACCTTCCCAAATTCTTATACAAGAGGTAAGAAACACGTAAAAATGCATTTTTAAACACCCAGACTTGAACTTATCCAATAAACATTCTTTTAAGCAGTCATTTTGAAAGGGGGTACATATTCCAAGAATCTCTCTATTCAAAGCTTTTGTGGAACCTGTTTTTTGTTTGTTTTTTCTTGTTTTAAGATTTATCTATTTATTTATTTGAAAGACAGGAAGAGAGAGAGAAAGAGAATGAGAGCAAATGCTTTTTGTTTGTTGGTTTACTTCTTAAATGCAATGACAGTCAGGGCTGGGTCAGGCTGAAGACTGGAGCCAGGAACTCCACTGGAGTGTCTTATGTGGGCAGCAGGGGCTAGCATCTGCTGCCTCCCGGGCATATTAGCAGGAAGCTAGAGTGGAAATGGAGCAACAGAGACTCAAACAGGTGCTTCTATATGGGATGCAGGCATAGATCCAGTTTTTACAGGCCATATAACACAATCTATCTCATTCCTTTAGAGCTATACATTATTCTGCAAATTCCCAGACAATGCTATTATCACTGTAACTATCTGAGAAGGTTCTAAATGATGTCTTGCTCTTTCTTACCATCAGACAATAAAAATGTAACATCTCCATTGTATTGACAGAAATAAGGCCGGAACTTTAAAGGCAATTCTAAAAGAGAAGATACAAAACCCAGACACTGGCAAATCATTGGGACGATGCAGAAACCTTCCTAGGTGATGAGACTTAAGGGCCCAGATTCATTTAGTTATATCAACTCACTATGGAAATTCTAGAGCAGCAAGGCCAAGTTCCCTAATAAAGTTTCGACAGATCAGACTGTTACTAAGTGTAATAGGACAAATAAACAAAACTTCAAAGTCAACCAGCTGCATTTACCAAACCCATGCCACATTACGGGAGCTCAACAGCATGGCTAGCACTTTACAGGGTGGCTAGGGATTAAACACATCACTCCAAGGCTCGGGGGTGGGAGGAGTAATTCCTTTTCACTACCGCCAAATGCCAATTATTTCAGTATCACTCCAAGTAAATTTCAGTTTTCACTCTGATCATCGTGAGCTTATTCCAATAACAATATGAAGCCCAGGAAAATTTTCAAAATCAAATATTTAACCAGAAATTGCACGGTTCCAAACATTACTAACGTTTTAATGTTAAATTATGCTTATATCTCATCAACTGCACAATTTTAATAAAATATTTTTAAGATCACCCAGCATTAAAATAGGTAGACAGGGAGTCTTCAAAAAGTTCATGGAGAATGTGTATTATGAAAACATCTACAGAGATTTCAAACAACATTTTGTACCACAATACATTCATGTTTTAATTTTTAAATCAACTTCCTGAAGTGCTCTAATATTTGCTATTGCTTTAGTTTTTCTGAAAAAACTAAATGTTCAATGTTTTTTCAGAAATACTATATCATATATTCTTTCTAATATAAGGAAACCATCATGCAAACTCTAAATAAACCTTTCCTTACTGTTTTTTGCTACATCCCATGTGTTTTGATGTTTTTGATTCCATTTTCATTTTTTTCCCAAATACTTTCTCTTGTTGAATTCATCGCTGGCTCATGGGTCACATGGTGGCATCATTTTACTCAAGAGGCCTTTGTGTTTTCTTTTCCTCACCCACGTGTTGGTTATTCAGTGGTACGCTTTTCTGACTCCATGGTGCTGTATTTTTTTTTCTCCTTTTTGTTTTTGTTTTAACTTCATACCTGTTGTTGACTTTGTTTTGTGGCTTCTCATTGGAATGTACAGTGATAGAGTAATAGAGACTACCATATCCAGAGGTGAAGATACAATGCAACAGGCATCCCTACTTCCAAATCAAAGATGGACTCCCAATGAAACTATTGGACATTATCTACACAGTGGGATGCTGACTGTCTGACATTGTACCAGCAATGTCAGGAAACACTTAAATAAAAGACTGCTGGACTTATGACTGCTTATGAAGGACTATACTATTATAATAATATGAGGAAAATCAGTTGGGGGTTGAGATTTTAGATAGGGTGAATCCCAGACCCTATGGAACTATACCATAAAATTCAAAATTAAAAAAGCAATATTTTTTTTAAAACAATGTTATAGAAAAACTCCTGTCAATAGTGTAATAAATGGATAATGACACATATTTTCTATTAATAAAATGAGTCATCAATCATACAACACTATAATCCCATCCCTTTTATATATATGCTGTTTTTAATTAGTGGTAGAGGAAGCCAGCAAGAGGACACTTTGTACTTAAGGGATTTCTTTGATTTTTGAAAACAAACCTAGCACACAGTCATAAAAATCAAGCAGAAGTTATAACCCTTTGTTTCATTTACATGGCAGTAAAATATTTAACTTGGAAATATTTTATTCTTTTTTTTTTTAACCCGAAAGGTACAGTAAATGACTCTAGGGCTCTTGTGTTTAATGTCCTCCCCTGTAACATGACATTGAAATCTGTGTAACTGCCACTTCTCCAGCATACTGCCCAGGGATAGGCTGAACTTTCTGCCTTTGGCACCAGAGAGTCTGATAAGTTTTCAAGAGACTCCAGTACATGACGAATGATTGCAAATCTCAAGTATAATACTATGTATGCAAACACTTCATAAGGAAAAGGTTACTACCTAGTATACCAGCTGTTCAACAATGAAATTTATATATTTCATAAGCCAATAAAGATTAAGGAATAGAGAGGAGAAGCTAATTAGGAACCCAAGAACCAGAAGCTGAAATTGAAATCAATTCTACAAAATTCCTTAAGTATTGCTGAGCCATAAAAGCATTCCTACCAATTCATAAAATTTTCAGACTTAATGATAACCACATTGTGCTCACTCATGTTTCTTCCATGAAGCATTTTTAATATGACTAAATGAAAGTACTGATTTTCATGTACCAATTGACTGAAAAAAATCTGAAAATAACCCAACATTTACTTTTTTTCCTCTGTTCTAATTTTAATTCTGTTGACACAGAGCCAAATGAAAATTCAAATACCAGGCTTTAAAACAATGCACCTGTTCAGCCACTGGCTGTTTCACCTCTTTTTCCCACCACTTTTTTTTTTTTTCTCACATTTGTGAGTTGGGGATACTGGGACCCTAAGCCAGGCTCAAAGATCTCTCTCCACCCTGCCCACAAGAGAAAGAAAAGATTTAGAAATGCTATAATCAGGGCTAAAAGAAGACAGGGCTACCAACCTTATAGAAATAATTCTATGAAAAACTTCACACCAACAAGCTAGAACCTAATGAAAGGGCTAGATTTCCAGAAACACACAAAGTAGCAAAAAGAGACTTCATAAGAAATAGAAAAATCTGAATAGGCCTATAGATACTAGAGGCTGGGGAAAAGAATTTGACCAGGGGGTTAAGACATCCATACCAATACCAAGAATCGGGTTCAAGTACTGACTGTTGCAAATCCTGGCTTCCTGCTAATGTGTGCCCTGGGGAAGTGGCACTGGCTCCATGTGGCATGTCCCTGGCCACCCAGGCAGAAGACCTGAATTGAGCCTAGCCCAGGCCCAGCTGCTGCAGGCATTAGGGGGTACACCAGAGGACGGCAATTGTCTTTCATTCATGCTCTCTCCCTCTCTTACTTTCTCTCATAATCACACACTCTTAATACTTTGACTCATGTTCTCTCCCTCTAACTCTTCACAAGCATCCACACACTTTAAATAAATATGTAAAAAAAATAGTAAAATACTTGTCACAAAGAAAATCTCAGATTCACCTGACTTCATAGGTGAATTCTACCAAACTTTTAAAATTAAGGTTTACTGAACTTGGGGATAGTGTTGTGGCAAATCAGATTAAGCCACTGCCTGTGAGGCATGCTGGTTTAAGACCTTGCTGTTCCACTTCCAATCCCGCTCCTCGTTAATGCACTTGAGGACGCAGCAGAGTATGGCTCAAGTGCTTGGGCCACTGCATCAAACGTGGGGAACTTGGAAGCACTCTGGGTTCTTGGCTGGCACTAGTCATTGCAGCCATTTGGGCAGTGAACCAGCCAACAGAAGATCTATTTACCCCTGCCTCCCTCCCTACTTTGCCCTTCTCTACAACTCTTTCAAATAAAGATCTTTAAAAAAAAAAAAAAAAAGCAATCAAACAAGATTTGGTGT